GACCACTGAGTCGGCATCCAATGGTGATAGTGTCTAACATCAACCAATCCACGAAATTGCGCGATCATCTTCCATCGTACTGAAGTAGATACCTGTCTCTACCCGACATGGATTAGCTCCACTGGTCACGGCTTCTCACTAGAACTGCGAGAATTCTCTCACGAAGCTAGTCATCATTGAGCATATGTTGATTACTGGTATGGTCTAACATCAATCGGTTCATGATCTCAATAAAAATACTTAATAATCTCCACAACCCCTATACTACTTAATTCATTTTATAATGAACAACATTCAACTAGGTACATTCTTCGTAATTAATGAGTTAGCAAACATCCAACAACAGGGGTGGATTTCTTCAATTTATGTTCTACTACTTGAATTGACCTATTGTGAAACGAACATTAAAATCGACTACTTATTTTTCCTGTTTGAGCAGTCGAGGTTTTCTTTAAAATTTTCATCATTAAAGACTTCGGTAATCAGTATTTGAGTTTTATGCTGAAAGAGAGAGAAAAACATGAATTGTTCGAAAATAACCACAAACACTTCACCTGATCTAACTTAACTTTATATGCCTAAAGACAACAGTCTGTAAAAAACGTGACTACTACTCCACGGTTCATGATGACTGTGCAACTATCTTCAAAGAGAATAGTTTTTGCACTAATATATAGTTAAAATCATGTCTTATACGATTGCATTGAAATAAATAATGTTATGAATTAGAGATACACAGTATGGATGCCATTACGTATGAAACATTTGAAGTTCATTTCTGAGAGTACTCTAATTAACATGTTAATCCATTAGCCAATAAGAGATAAAACGGAATGTCTTATGGTCAAAGGTTGTGTCAGCATGATAACCTATACAGAAACTATTTATAGACTGTGATAACACAACTATTCATGTTCACAGTTTAGGGGTTGTGAAGATTGTGAAGTTACCTCAATAGAATGATCAAAGGAGCACATTGCATCATTTCATAATTAAACTATTTAATTTTATCAAAAAGGGGTTCTGTGAATATTTTAGTAATATAATAGTTGAATTCATGAGTCAATTAAAGCTAGACAACCATGGAATTGGTTGAAACTGGAAATTCACACCACTAAATATTGATTTAGTGATCTACAGGTTAATTGTTCGCGTGCGAGACCGATAAGTACTGGGTTCGAATCCCATGAGCGAAATCGTGAATACGCACTGCTGAGGAGCCCCATAGTGGGACGAAACGATCGTCCAGTACTTTCAGGTTTTCCATGGTGATCTCGCTTTTAATGACTCATGATTTCAACTATTAAAGTATTTAATTTTATTTATTCTATACAATCTCGACAAATAAACTAATTTTCTAGCAACATAACAGAAAATTGAGTTAAACAGTTGGCTATTCAATTATAAAGGACCTTTGGATTCATTTATTCATATTAATCTTAGTTTAAGCTAAGAATAACTGTAATCACAAGTATGATATGCAGCTACATAGTAGTATACGCTTATATGAATGCCTATACAAGATAATCTAACTTAGTATATTTCTTGTATTCTATTTAGATCTGCAAGTAGTACTTACTCACTTACTTACGCCTGTTACTCCCCGTGAAGGAGCATAGGCTGCTCGCCAGCATTCTTCATCCATCTGCAAGTAGTAACTTACTATATTTTTTCTTATCATTGTCGATTTTTATTATTAATGTAAAATACCTACATGTTAATAGAATTCAACCTTTTTGTTATATCCCGAATGGTAACTGTTGGAATTTATTTCTGGACTAATACTATACGTGTATCTTTATTGTATCATTGTTAAGTAACTAAACTATACATATTCGTGTTCCTCTTATTATGAGCTTTATTTCAACCCATAAACTATTATTATACGATTTACCATTCTTGAGTTATGCCCTATCTGTTAATTACTACCTCCCACATTCACAGCCACATTTGGCTAATTCATATTTTATTGGTACGTGGTCTGTTTGGTTGGTATATAAACCCAGTATGCTTGACATAAATGATTCATATTGCAGAGGCTGAGATTGATGTTCCGGACTCTAACAGGCAGGGTTAGGCAGGGAGAAGAACCGATAAGGACTCTAGACTGCTCGTACGGATTTTATGCGTCATTGGTCCGGTCGATAAACCGTTTTTCTCCGATTGGCGGTATCATGACATTATACGTTCATAGGGTACAAAGCCACAAGGTGTAATACTTTTATTCTTACAAAACGTTTAATCTAATTTGATTGTTTTTTCTACAATATCAGATCAATCAATATGAAAATCTAAACAGTTTTAAGATTCAATGTTTTGAAACAATAAATTTTCTAGGAGGTTCGTTTTAACTGACCCGCGAAATCATGTTTCAAAACTTGAAACACAATATTATGATATGATAGAAATTTCGTAATTAATTAACATAAATGTTAATTAATGACTAATATGAGATGCATAATGGACATTCATACTGTGATTGTACAAAGGAATCTTTGAACCAGTTATCTATTTTTTTTTAAATGTTGATTAACACAACTTTAAATGTAGCCATATAATCTTATGTCACTTTCAATAGGTTTACATTATTTTCTACGAATAAATGAACAAATAAAAGGAATGAAAGTGTTTCAGTATATTTCTGAAAAAGGGGTTAATAACACCAACGTTTTCTTTGTTAGATTATGTCATGTTTTTCCCGGCCATTGCTGCTACCTTAATGTGGTGTTCGGACTTGCCTATCGTAATGAATTAATTGAACTATACTAAGAGGAATAATCGTTGCTCAAGGTCCTACCATGCCAAACAGGTTGGTTGAAGAGCAGTAAGATTAAAAGTAACAAACCGAAGATCCAAGGGCGAAGTTGTACTGTTAACTGCACAAAGGTGTGACGGCAGTAGGGTGTAACCTACAGACAACTAGCATGACAACGATATTGCCTTTCCACAAGGCGGGGTGGGGTTAGAAAAGATCGACCCTAAGATGCATACCTCACATCATCCCATGGATTTCCGCCTCCAGTGGTAAGGTCTCAACACGTATGGAGCTAACATAAAAACTATTCACAGAAATGTAGTATAAGACCGACCTCAGGCAGTTGTCACTTTGGCACTGCGGTCACGCTCTCAGGTCACTAAGAACAATTTCCTTTTCAGGTACCTTATAGGTGAACCTTCCCACGGTGTGGGCAACCGGGAAGTGATAAGCACCCTCACACCATTAACAGCAATGAAGATCATTGTGTTCATAATTAATCTCAAGTTTTACTTTCTCTCAAAATAAGTTTATGATTTATTGAAAGATGTTGTACAAAAACTCACTCAGTAGGTTTACAGAAACTGGTTTACTACTTTTTTCATTTAAACAATAAAAGTGCTTAGATTCAAAGAAGTACGCTGCATTTTTCATAGATTTAGTTTAAACAATATTCATAAGAAATTGAAATTAGGATTCAGAGAATATGAAAGATTATATAAACGAGGTAGTCAGAACATGGCAACTTACGAAATGTGCTTAAATCTAATCAAAACCTATTTTTTAAACACTTCAGTAAAATAGTAAGAAACGCACGTGAAACTGAATTTCACTGTTAGCCACTACCCATCTTTAGATGGTGGTTGACAGGGAACCCTTGACCCGGGTTTCGTGCTACTTGGCACTCGTCAGCAAGGTGTACCTGTAATCTTGAGGAAACTGGTGCTCCCAGGCGGATTCGATCTCGTGTCACCCAGCTTTACAGTCAGAGACGTTACCACTGATCTATCCGGGTTTCATGTCGACTAACTCCAACCACCATCTAATCTCAATATATAGTGCACGCAGTCTCGAGTCACCTCGACCGATGACCACATTGCAAGATGATCGATAGCATTCGATCTGCACTAAATAAGGACTTGAAACATATGACATTGATCACCACTCAGTGATCAATCAATAGTGATTATCCATCTTTACTTATAATGCTTGTGAATGATAGCAATATCGAGGCAATCAGCACAGTATGCATATATACAAATACGAGACTGATCAATTGCAGTCCTAAACAACAATAAGAATATACAAGTAAACAATATCAAGTGAATTTAAACTTCATCAGAAGTAATCAAGGAAACGTTTCTATTCTATATAATTATCATGAATGTTAACAATATTTACGAAATATCAATGTTTATAATCAAGTTCCGTTTCATGTTGAATAGATTATAAATTGAATTGGATAATCTAAAATTACAACTTAAAAGAAGAATATATACATTTAGAAAATTCAATATATTAAGCTTACATTCACAATATTCAACTCTGTTATATTCATAATGACGAAGCCTTTCCCCCCCCCATTGATAGTATTGAGAAGAACATACTTACATGAGTTCACTTAGTTTTATTCATTCTACTGATTCAAACGATGTATGTATGATGTTAAACCTTATGTACATTAAAAGCTAAACAGATTCCATTCATTTCACTTTTATTTTTAATCATGGTAACTGTAAAAATAAAAAGAGTTGCTCAATGATGAACTGTATGATGTATATCCAAGTGTACAATTCAATATATATAATGACATGAAGTTTATTCATCATTTACATTCATGCACACACACAAACACACACAGAGAGAGAGAGAGAGGGGAGAATTTACACTGTTTAAAACAAAAAGTGTATCTAAGTAAAATTTGAGTAATTCATTGTACAAAATGTAATTTTTCAATAGATACATCTTTAGATTAAGAAGAAAGTCATCATCATCATCATCATCATCATCATCATTACATGAATGGATCATGTGAAATATATCTTTATTTATTCATGGTATAATTTAGCTTATTATTCATATCATTATTAATACAGTAGTACTACTAATATTATTGATCAATTCTCTTGCTCTTAAATGTTCTTTACGACGTTGATGATGTTGTTGTCATTGAGGATGACGGTGATGAAGTTGTTGGTGTTGAAAATGATGATCATCATCAGTGAAAGGATGAAGTAAAATATCTTTATTTATCCATAGGATTGTCTATGTTACTATTCATATCATTATTATTATTACTAATATTATTGATTAATTCTCTTGCTCTTAAATGTTGTTTACGACGTTGTTGTCTAGGATGTTGTTGTCGTTGAGGATGTTGAAGATGATATGAAGGATGAAATAATTTATTATTATTATTATGTTTAATATAACAACATTTATAGGATATAATACTATTAAATAATAAAATTTTTAATTTTTTTCTAAATGCATTACTCATAAAACAATAAATTAATGGATTTGACATATTATTTAAGTAGTATGTATTATATGCAAGTAAATTAAATTGTACTAATTTATTAGCTGTTAATAATGCTGGTGTAAATACAATAATATAAACAACAGCTACAACAAATAATACACTAGCTGAACGTATCTCTCTCCATAATGTACTTTCTGTTATATTTTTTATGGATAAATTCATTTTGATTCTATTTGTTAAACTTTTACGATGATGTTGATGTTGATGAGGATCAGTGGTTAAATGTCCAATGTCATTAGTAGTAGTAGTAGTAGTAGTAGTAGTATTGTTTAAATCATTTGATGAAATGGCACTTTTTTGATTTCTATTTAACATTTTTGTATTATGTATTATGATAGTATTATATGGTATCGTATTATGATTAATCACTGGTGTATAACGTTGAGCACGATGTGTTTTAATGACAACGCGTAAAATTAATGAATATAATATAATAACGGATAGAATTGATAATATAAAACTGGCTGTATTACCTTTCTGCAATATATCATATGTTAATTTTTCTATATAAGTAGCATTTGGTATTTCTGGTGTATCACAACATTGTTTTATATTTGGTTCATCATTTGTTATCCCTAAACTATGATGTAATGCACCAAGTATACCATATAGAATACAAAATATAGCTAAACCTAATGTTAAATATTTAGCACGTTTCATTGTTAATATACGACGTAATGGATGACATATAGTAAGATATCTTTCTAATGCAATTGCTATAATTAATAATGAACTAAACATAATATTACATATATTTAAAAATGCATGTGTTTTACACCATATATCTGTTGATGGTTGTAAATGTATATATTCCATATAGAATGTCAATGGTACAACAAAACAACATACCATTAAATCAACACATGCTAATACAAGTATAAAAAATGTTGGTGTACCAGTGGTTTTAGTAAATAATTGTTCATTTGATTCATGAATCTGTATTATATGATTAGAATTATCATTATTCATATCATGAAGATACGATGATGTTGTTGTTGTTGTTGTTGTATATAATTCATTTGTATTTAACATACTTAATTTTTGATTATAATAAATTTGTCTATATTTCAAATGTAAATGTGGCCAAAAATGTTGTTGTATATAAACACCTAATACAAGTAAATTTCCAATTGTACCTAATAATGAAACAGAACCAAGTAGAATTAATGTACATAACCATATTGCATCAATATTCGTTTCGACAGTTTCATAATATGGAATCGTTGAATTTGAAATATTCATGTATAATATTTTGATATATTTAAATTTATTTTAAGAATAAATTAAAACATTTTAATATTTAAGAATTATTCAAGAATGTATATCGGTCAGCTTCTAAAAACAAACGCATTTATATATGTGTACATGTATTTGTTGACCAATCAAAATGCAAGGTATAATTCAAATATTTTGATTGGTTGAATGTACTCTTTATATTGTTTTGATTGGTTAAAATAATTAACCAATGAAATAAATAGACGTTGTATAAACTTATGTAATATAGTGAAACTAAAATGCTTACTAAGTGATTGTGTATATACCCAATAGTAATAATACATTTTAAAATTTTTTGTTTTATTCTAATGAGTAGAAAAATATATTTCTGAAGTTTAACAATAATGTAAATCACTTATTTAGAATAAATCATATTTAGATACAGTTTCTTTAATGGTAAACATGAACTAGTGTGGTGTGTTCTATTTGTATTGACATAAGAAGTATATGATGTTAGTCATGAACAGAAGGTCTGGCAGAAGAGAGACAAGAGGATCGAACAGTAAAGAATGGAAACAGAATGTAATTTGTATGAGAATGCAAGAACAAAAACGTTTGAGTCATTTTGAGACGATTGATGGAGTTTTCCAAATTAAGCATTTACTTTATGACTGTTAGATTTTATCAGAAAGTCCTGTAATTTTTTGTTAAGTACAATCGATTGTCCCCACTCGTGTTCTGTTCACTACACTGTCGTGAAACCACTATAATCTTTCAGATGGTGAATAAAATCTGTAGCTCAGGTGGATGATTTTGATTATTTTTTGTTCCCTGATGTTATTGATGATGTCGTTCAGAAGAATTGTGGAAGCTCCACTATCAAACCATCCAGCTCAGAGAACAAAACTCCATCAAAATCGTTGTGGTCTTCCAAGAAAATTCAATATATTTATACAATAGTCAGGTGAAAATCTCTTATGAAATCATACCCATAAAGCTTTATATTAAAGGAAAGTTTGAGTATTAACCATAAATTCTATTTATTACTTTCTAAAATCAAGATGTCCATGGGCAAAATAAATTTATTTGGATAAATCCTTAGTAAAGTCTAGAGAATGAATAGACATGACTTTGTGAACATTAATCTGTATTGTAAGAGAAGATATAATGAAGGATGACAAAGAACTACGTTCTTTCCAAGTTGATAGATATAAAACATCAAAAATGATTAGAATATAGATATTCTAGTGAATAGTCGTAATTCAATCAGTTTACTCCAAGTTTTAGGTACCTTAGCATACAAAATAATTCTGTCTGATAGAAATCGGTACAATATCTCTCATAATTTGACTGTCGGTATACACTCTACTTTCATTTATCTAACATATCGAATAAATTTGATCATCTTACGGATGACCTGGTGAATTCAATGCCTCTAATTTTGAAATAGCCATGCACAACAACAGCTTGATATGTGTAAGTTATTCCTACCACAGACTGTTACCAGTCAGACTATAAATGAGAACCAGAAATCGATAGACGACTGTTATGTATCTAAATGGGACTCAGCATTCGTGATTACACATGATCACTTCATATTTTAGAATAAATAATTAAAGGATAACTTTTTCAACTAATTACCATGTTCTGTAAGTACAATATGCCTGTGTAGAATGATTATTGCGTTAATGAACTTAAATCTGGCTAGGGATATAGAAGATAGAAAAAGCTTCCTTTGAACACATTAAACTTCGGGTTTTACGTGCTCCTGGATAATATTTCTTACATTGTCATTAATTTCATAATTTCTATACTAAAAATGTATGCATTTTGCATGTCTTAAAGTATAATTTATGTTTTTCAGTCTACTGGTTAATTAAAATTTCTGATTGAGATCATGAACCGATTTACGTTAGATAACCATTGAAAACCTGGAAGGATCGAATGGCCGTTTCGTCTTATTGTGAGACTCCTCAGCAGTGCGCATCTACGATCCTATGCGCGGGATTCGAATTAACGGCTTTCAGTCTTGCCCTCGAACGCACAACCTACTGGATCAGTGAGCTGGCCATCATCCAACGGTGTTAATGTCTAACTTCAACCGTTACACGAAATTTCATGACCATCTTCCATTGTACTGAAGAAGATAATAATGAATAGCTTCGTGAGGGAATTCTCGGAGTTCTAATGAGATGCCGTGACCAGTGGAGCTAATTCGTGTCGATCAGAGACAGGTATCTCCCTTAGTACAATGAAAGATTATCGCGAAACTTCGTGGATTAGTTGAAGTTAGACATTAACATCGTTGGATCTAGAGGTTAAGCGTTCACGAGCGAAACCAAAGGCCTTAGATTCGAGTCTTGCGAGCGGGATCGCGAATGTACACTGCTGAGAAGTTCAACATTAGAACAAAACAGCTGTTCAGTGCTTCTAGGTTTTCAATAGTCGTCTAACATCAATCGGTTCATGATCTCAATCAAAAACGTAATAATCTCCACAACTTTGTACTCATAATTAAAATCTCATTTTAAACCACTATAAGTAATATAAAGTCTGTATTAAAATATCAATTGAATAAAAAGGTTATTTCACTTCTGTTTTTTCATCAACTAACAGATTGATGAATAATTTAACTTACATATAATCGTTTAAAAAGCTCCAATCAATTTAACAAAAAACAAAGAAAATAGAAAGAATGCGAATATAAGACATTAGGTAGACTTACCACGACGTGCAATGCTAAACGGTGTTGAGGATGGTTGGAAGAAATTTAGGGGTGGCCAAACCAAAGCGTGGAATCAGTCCACAAAGTCACTAACTTCTAGTTTGAGCCATGTTAGGAGATGCAGACTGCTTGGTTGGGATCCGCGTGACTATCGTAACCAATGATTGTAGACTGTGGATGACATGGCTCAGAATCGATCACAATGGCGTCGGTGTATACACTCTTTGTCTTCCCTTAAACTAAGAAATTAAAATCGCTTAATATCTTTCTTCCTACGAAATAATTATTTGTTCCTGTACTATATCCTTATTGCAATCTTTCTTTTATATATTAGCACCACTGAATTAACTACTTTTATGAATCCGATGTTCATCTTGTTGTGTTAACGAGGTATGGCAACTTGGAAAGTTTCATATACGTGCCTGGTCCTACGTTGTAGCTGACTGACTGATTAACATCGACTAGTAATAACTCATTCAAAGTTAATTTCTCAATGTTCATGAACAAGAATAAAAATCAAAGTTAGCTAACCATCATTATTTACCTATCAGTAGAAGAAAAATCAAATATCAATAATCCAATATAAAAAGAAATATCAAAAATTGATCCTAATTTTTATAATGGCTTGTTGTATAGGTGTAGTAGTCATAGGTTTCCCTTCCCTTCCCTTCCTTTTCCCCACCCCTTCCCCTCCCCCCCCAAATAAAACAAAAATCATATTTTCATCAAAACTTTAATTTATTTAAGCAGAAACTTAATTTATCTTACCTGCTGTGACTAAAAGTATGAAAGAAAAACAAACTGACTTAGCTGAAACAGCTAGGGAAAATCAAGAAGCCTTGATAAATCCTACTCTTTTACCATATATATATATATATATATATATATATATATATGTCTATATAGTAATATGCAATAGAGATTGATTATGAAATATCACTAGTCGACATAAGTTAAAAGTATGAATAGCATCATAATAATAACAGAATGGTTCAAATGCAATCAGATCATTATTAATTTTCAAGATTCTCTCTGAGATGAAGATGAAGAAGATTTGTTGTTCATACATACAACAAAAGGCGGCCTACTTGAGCATCTGGGCTACCTGTTCCTGCTATCTAGATATTTCAACAAGTTATCTATTTTTGTTTGTTTTAATATATGTCATTATGTCTATTCATCGCATAACCTATCCTGGTGCATTTCTGAAAAGTGTACAACCTTTCGTTGTCAAAGTTACAAAAAGCTCAATAAGAGACAATGTGGTTGCTGGCAATATACAACGAAAAGAATGTACATTATTAAGATGTTCATTTACTGGACTGCTAACATCTAACTGGCAATCACTCAATATTTATCGTCAGGATCGACCAAGAATTAAAAAAAACGGTAACTTGTTGAAACACTTTGTTCTGAGAATTCTATATTATACCAAAAATGTAGTATTGAATAAAGCGGATGATGATAATGATAATGAAGAAGATTTATTGTTCAGATGGATGATTTTGATGAAGTTTTGTTCTCTCAGAACACTGTTAACATACGTTCTCCCTCACAATCTCAATTTGTTTTAGAATATGCTTAGATTATATCAGTGAACAGACATTTGATAAGGTTTCATTTTACTTTAACAAGAGAGAAGCATATTTACAATTGAAGAAAATCTGGAACTCAAAATAACTGTCAACCAACAACAAATTCAGAATTTTCAATACAAATGTCGAGACAGTTCTACTGTATGTGGCGGAAAGTTGGAGAACTACGAAAGCCATCATACAGAAATCACAAGTGTTTATTGACTTCAGATCCGTTGACCAGACACTATTAGCAACAACCTACTATGGGAGAGAACAAACCAGATCCCAGTGAAGGAAGAAATCGGGAAAAAGCGCTGGAAGTGGATAGGACACACATTGAGAAAAGCATCCGACTATGTCACAAACCAAACCTTGACACGAAATCCTCAAGGTCAAAGGAGAGGCGGAAGATCAAAGAACACATTACCCCTAGACCGGGAGACAGACGTGAGAAGAATGAACAACAATTGCATAGAACAAGAAATGAAGGTCCAGGACAGAGTGAGTTAGAGAATACTGGTCGGTGGCTTATGCTCCATTTGGAGTAACAGGCATAAGTAAGTAAGTAAATAAGTAAGAGATTGAAGAAGATGATTTAATTGTCTTGTTTATAGAATTGATTACACAAATCAATTACATCATTATACATATTTATTTTATAATTAAATAATTCAATTTTATATCTTCCTTTAAAGTACATTTCCCTCTCTTTTGCTTCAAAAAAA